AGGTGAGGGAGAGGTGGGCCGCAGGCCGGGAGGGTGCAGGCGGGCGGGCGTGGGAGGGCGGGCGGGGCACTACCTGGCCTCAATGTCCAGCTGGATCTCACCGAGGTAGTCGGGTGTGGCCAGGATGTAGGGCTTCCCAGGGGTGAGCTTCACCTGGAAGTTGGGAAGGACTGGGCCAGGGTGCGAAGGCAAGTCAGAGCCAAGGGACGGCCTCTCCGCGCCGCCCTCCTTCCGCCCTCTGCAGGAAGCCGCAGCCTGTCCCGTCTCCGTGCTCACCGTACTGCTTCACCTCAAACGTGGTGCTGCTGTTGGTTTGCAGGCTGTCTGAGAACTGGGCTGAGATCTTCCAGGTCCCCGGCCTAAGAATGGACAGAGTGGGGACTCAGCAGCCTGGTGCCCTGGGAAGAGGACTGGGAAGCCCAGGAGCCCAGGGACAGACAGTAAGGCCGCAACTGTGCCAGGAGCCGGGGAGACGGGGTTGGGGCGAGAGAGATGGGGAGCCACTCCCACACAGGGGCGCTCACTCGGCGATGTCCGGAATCGTGAAGTCGTCCTGGAAGATGGAGGAGGGAGCGTGCGTCTCCTTCTTCCGCACACGGAGGCCGTGGGAGTTCTGCAGGGGTAGACACAGGTCAAGTGGGAGACACGGCAGCACCCTGGCTCAGGAGGGCAGCGCTCAGGGCCTCACCTCCACCATGACCAGGAGGTTGTCAGTGGACGGCCGCATCTTCTGGTCCAGAGCAAAGACCCGGTACCGAACTAGGAATTGGGTAGAGAAAGGTGAGAGGGGCCAGGTCCAAAGGGAGGGAGGCGGGGCCGAACATCTGCTAAGCTTGTGCTCAGCGGGCGAGGCGGCGAGCGAGCGGAGGAACCGAGGCTGAGGCTTACCCCGCTGGCCAGGGTTGTACACGGGCTGGTCAGTCTGCACGAAAAAGTGGCCCCGGCGAGAGGAGAAGAGCAGGTTGACACCCTGAATATCTGTCTCTTTGGCCAAAGCACCCTTCAGCCAAGGTGACTGGGCCACCAGCTGGACCTCAGGGCTTCTGCGCAGGCTGAAGAGGCCACAGGTCTTTGCAAGTCTCCGGGGAACCTGTCCAGACAGGGAGAGGAAGCTGGTCAGGGACGAAGACCAAGGCAGCAACATGGAGACCCCCGGGTGGAGGAGAGGGGGGAAGCCGGTGAGGAGGAGAGTCCTTTGCAAGATGGGCAAGGAGCAGAGAGGCAGATGAGGGGTGGGCTTACCTGGAGGCTGAGGAGCTCGAAGTCTCTTTGTGAAGAGAGAGTGAAGTCCTTTTTGGGGGAACAGAGGTTGTTATTCTGGCTTGGATTTCTCAGAAACACAGATCCTCTCACTACCTGTCCTGCGGGGGCATCCTGCAGCTGTACCCCCACTGATAGGGGCACCCCCAGATTGACCACAGAGGGAGAGAACAGGAGCAGCCTGGAGGGGAGGACAGCAGTCAGACTTGTGCCAGATCGAGTCACCCCAGCCCTGCCCACGAGAACACCCAGCCTCTAGCCCAACCTGGGCTTCTGCAGAGATGAGGCAAAGAAGCCGAACCCCCAGAGAAGCCCCCAGAGGAGCCTCATGGTTGGAGGGTCCAAAAGGGGTCCGAATCGCTGCTCTGTCTGCACCCTTCTGGTCAGCCCAGGGTCAGGGCCAGCTTTGACTCCGGACCTTGCTCCTCCCCTAACCAGCTGAACCGGGAAACCATGTGACAAGCAAGAAGTGGAACTGGCCCCAGGCCCAGTACTGGGGTGGCAGCCCGGACACCAGGGTCTGTGTGGATGTGAGGAAATCTTGGCCCAGACAGCTGTGCCTCCCTGTTCCCCACTGGTCACGGTGCTGCCACACCTCCCTAACTGGGAGTATCTGTGAGCGAGTACACACACAGGCTGTCTGTCTCTCCACGAGCCTGCAAGGCCCCCAGGTGGCTTGGAGATCTAGGACACTTAAAAGTCCTGATGGAACAAGGATGGGCTTCTAAGACCCTCGCCTCTTCCTTTCATCCCTACCCACACTGAACCACACCAGGCTTTTGCTTTCTGCAGGCCCTGACGGAAACCCTGCGGTTCAGGAGGTGGGAAGAACCAACCTCAGAATCAAGGGAACTTAGTCCTGAGTGACAGGACAACACTCAGGCCTCCAGTGGCGTTACCACCCCCACAAAAGAGACACCCAAACACGCACATCCTTCAGGCAACACCACAGGCAGAAGTACTTTATTTGGCAATTCCAATTTAACAGGGAGGACAGAGGACTCTGGCTCCTGCCCCGGCCTCCCCAGCAGTCCCATCTTCCAATCCCAAAACAGCAATGATAGCACCTTCTTCCACAACAGGCAATGGCCAAGGCCTTGGCAGGCCCTAGCTCCACACCCACGGAAGGGCACAAGCACTGCCCAAAGCCAACCAGGGGTCACAGACCAGGCTTGTAGAGCAGGCCCGCCCGGCCCCACACTCAGCCTTCCCAAGATGACCCCCACACAGCCACCATCTGAGGAGGTGCACAGTGACAGCAGAATCCTCATGTCTCTGGCAGGCGGAGGACGGTTCCGGAAGTGGTGGAAATGCTGTGTAGGAGAAAAACAATACTGGAGCCAGCTGCATAGGCCAGGGTGGAGGGGAGCTCGGAACTTGGCAAGGGGTGTTTCTGAGGTCCAGGGAAGAGAGAAACTAAGCTTCGTTAGTGAATCGGGCATGAACCAGGGGAAACCCAACCACGGATCACTGCCCTGTCATCTGCCAGTGCCATGGGACAAGGCTCACCAGTCCACCAGCTGAGCTCCTATGAGGTCATGGACGTGGTAGGCCAGGCCAAGCCGCACTGCAGCAGGTGCTCGTCGGCCCAGAAGCTCTGACAGGAGGAGCTCCCGGTACTGGGCTTTCCGGACCATGCCAAGGACAGTCTGGCGCCCTGGGAGGTGGAACAGGGAAGGGGAAAAATAAATAGAGCCCAGAGGCCTGAGAAGCCACCAACACTGTTCATGACAGGCTGAAGGCTTGGGCCACAGACAGACAGATACCTTTAACGAAGTACTTGATGAATCTCCCAGCTCCGGGCACCGCCAGCCACCAGCTCCCGACATCTCGAACAGTGAGGACCCCAGCATTCACCAGGTGCCTGAAGGCAGGGGAAGCCGGGAGATGTGACTGGGCTCCAGAAGCCCCTCTCCTCCCCATGCTTATGTCTGAACACTGAGGCTCAGAAATGGGGTAACACCATCAGCAAGAGGGGCCAGGCTGAGAAAACCCCGACCTGGGCAGGGTCCGCTCACAGCACACGGCTTCCATCGCCCCGCCTGGACCGCCCTCCTCACACAACCACTTGTTTAGCAGAACAGTTCCTCTCAGAGGCCCTCCCGACCCTGGAGGAATAGGGGTCTTCCTGGGGCCCATGCATCTCACCACAGCTTCTGCTGCACCTCACAGTATGTGTGTACTTCCCCGGGTGAGATGAGTCCTTTCGTTTTTAAGATGCTTTCACATGTACCATGGGTTACAAAGTAGGAGGCCAGAGCAAGACACAGCCCCCTGAAATCATATTTTTACTTAGCTCTTGCCTACTTTCTTTTTGGGATTTAGTTTGGCTTGGTTTTTCGAGACAGGGTCTGGCTATATACAGGCTAGTCCGGCCTTTCTGTTCTTGCCATAATGGGGATTGAACTTAGAGTCTTCACACTCATCTACATCCCCAGCCCTTTTTTAATAATTCAACTGCTAAGAACAGATACTACATTTGATCTTAACCAAAAGGCCAAGAAGTGATTTTTTCATACTTTAAGACAGGGTTTCACTAAATTGCTAAGCGCCCAGGCTGGGCTTGAACTTGTGATCCTCCTGCCTCAGCCTCCTGGACTGCTGGGATTATAAGAATGCACCACCATGCCCAGTTCAGGTTGGCCTTGAACTTACTATGTAGCTCAGGAGATCCTCCTGCCTGGGTCTCTCAAGTGCTAGGACTGCACGCCCACATCACCATGTGCAAAAGTGTTGCAGCTCCTTCTCTGTCCCCACAGACCCACATGAATAGGAGGCCTTCCTGCCAGTCCCCACGTGCATTGTGCATTCTGGCTTTTTGTAGTCCAGTGTTCTTTCCAAGGGCCCAGCTGAGAAAGCTGCTCTCTTAGATCACTTAGTCAAACAGAAGAGACAGACTTTCTCAAACAGGGCTGGATGGGACTAGAGGGGGGTAGGAGGTGCCAGGTAACACCAATCTCACGTGATATCGGAGTCCCTGAAGCCAAAGGTCTGCGTCATCTGATCCTGCTGAAAACTAAGGTCCCCACAGGCGGGAAGGACCGAAGCCAGAAACTTCTGCACAGCCCCAGCACACGGTCGGCCATCACAGGCTTTGAGGACCTGGAACCAGAGACGAGAGAGACATGGTCCGGGCCTGCCCTCACCTCCACCCGTCGCCACCCCCAGGACAGTGTCTCTCCTCCTGATTTCCCCTCCTCTGATCCTTCCACCTCCCGAACCATCCCTCTTCTCCCTCATTTTACTATTTACTAGAACCCTGTGTCCTGTCCATGAATCCTGGGGTAGGAAAATTGTTTCTTTTGTTTTTATTTCCATTCCCCCCACCCCCACACACACGCAAGTACAATCATACATACTCTGGTCCTGTAGTCTTCAGTGAAGATAATCCCGTGGGCATCCATGTCGAAGCCCAGCTGGATGACTCTGATCTCTCCCTGCTCTTGAAGCTCCTTCTGTCTCCGCACACAGGATAGAAAGGAGGCGTCTGTTAGAGTGAAGCGCTCCACTGTACCTGGGCACTCGGGCAGGAGCTCTCGTTTACCAGTATCGTGTGAGGAGACAACCAGGGGCATCACAAATCAAGCTTTCCCACTAGGTACCCACCCGACTTACCCGCTGTCTGTCAAACAGTGTGTGCTCTGTAAGACAGAACTATGCCAGGCACTAAGATAAAACAGTGACTCAGACATGGGCCCTGCCCTCAAAATCAGTGGTCTAGATTTTGAGTGGGGAAGGTGGAGAGAGCTATTACATAACAAAACAAATAAAAGCAAAGTAGGACTTCTGCTTGTGAAAACGGCAAGAATAAAGCCACCTGTTAACATTAACCAAAATGCTAGGACACTATTTTTTAAGTGTTGAAGCATTAAAGAACTTATAAGCTAACAGAAACTACCACACTAATATACAGCTAAGAAACACAGGAGCGGATGGAGAGAAGTGGGATAAGGCAGGCATGTGCTGAACTACAAAAATCTGTCTCCCACAAAATCAAAAATAACTGGGTACAAAGGGAAACAACACTCAAGAAACAGACTCCAGGGCTGGGGATTTAGCTCAGCGGTTCCGCCGCCTGCCTTGCAGGCGCAAGGACCGGAGTTCAATCCCTGGTACCAAAAAAAAAACAACCCAAGAAACAGACTCCAAAGGCATGCAAGTGGAATTACCAAAAAGGCTGTCTTTTTTTTTTGGTGGGGGCGTTTGAGATACCAAAAAAAAAACAACCCAAGAAACAGACTCCAAAGGCATGCAAGTGGAATTACCAAAAAGGCTGCTTTTTTTTTTGGTGGGGGCGTTTGAGACAGGGTCTCACTATGTAGTTGAGACTCACCTGGAACTCACTATGTAGCCCAGGCTGGTCTCAAACTCACAGTGATCCTCCTGCCTCAGCCTCCTGCGTGCTGGATTACAGGCGTGCACCACCATGGCCAGCTAAGGCTGTCGTTTTTAACTGGTACCAAAATACAGTTATACAAGGGGAGTAAGTTTGTGTTTCCGTAGCACAGAGCACACTGTGAAGCTGGAAAGGCTGATTGCCTGAGTCTGACTGCAACACAGTATGCACACCTGTGCATCAAACTGTCCACTGTACCCTAGCAATATGTACAATTACTGTGTCCACAAAGACAATCTTAACCTAAAAGCCTGTGTTCATAATGCTGAAATAAAAGCCAAGATGGAAATCTCAGCAAGGAAAGTAACATAGTGGGTCTGAAAATATCCAAGTAGAAGTTCTAGAACTGAAAGACAAAGTAAATTAAGACCTCAAAAGAATTGGGCACAGTTCAATAAAAAGTTATAAATCTGTATGAAAAAACTGCCTAAAAAACCAGAATATACACTGGGCCTGGTGGTACACACCTGTAGTCCCAGCACTCAGGAGGTTGAGGCAGAAGGATTGCCCTTAAATTTGAGGCCAGCCTGGGCTACAGAGTTCAAGGCCAGCCTGAACTACACAGTGAGACCCTGTCTCAAAAAAAACCCAACAAAGAATACAAGAAGTAAAAAATATTGAAAATATAAAGGATACAAAGAGCAGGTCCAGTGTATGTTTGATTTCCAGAATGAAAGAAAAGACATAATGAAGTAAAAAAATCTGAATAAACCAAAATCATGGCTGGGCATGGTGGTATAATTCCAGCAATTGGGAAGCTGAGGCAGGAAGATTGCTGCAAGTTCAAGGCCAGCCTGGGTTACATAGTGAAGTCAAGGCCAACTTGCATTACAAAGGGAGATCCATCTTAAAAAACAAAACAAAAAAACCCAGTAAATCCACAACCACAAGATTATATTAATCCAACTGTCATAAATTCACAGTACAAAGGAACAAAATAATCAGCGAGGAAACAGAAATTAGTAACTGAATAATACATATTTTCAAGAATATATTTAGCATTTAGCAAAATTCATCATATGATACAAAGCAAGTCTCAATAAATTTCAAATGCATTTGTTCTCTGGCTACAATATAATTTATGTCCAATAACAAAAAAGCAATGAAATATTTAGAAATTATGACATAGATTTCTAATCAACTCAAAGAAACACCACAGCAAGTTAGGAAAATATTTCTTAGTGATAATGAAAATATACTTGGAAACATATAAAAACATTCAGTTATTGCAACAAGATAGAAATAAATAGTGTCTTAGTTTGTTTCTGTTACTGTAACAAAATCACTGAAACTGGGAGATTTAAACAACAGAAATGTACTTCTCACAGTGCAGGAGGCCAACATCCTAGATCAAGGCAGCTCACCGTCCACTGAGGGCCACGTCTCTACTTCCAAGATGATACCTGGCTGCTATGTTCTCTGAGAGGACAAGCACTATGTTCTCTCACGGTAGAGACAGAAGGGCCAGGCAGCTCTCAAAAGCCTCTTTTCTAGGACACCAATCCCACTCAGGCCCAATTACCTCCGAAAGGCCCCACTTCTTAATACCATTGCTTTGGGGTTTAAATGTCAACACAGAGCTGCTTTTTGTTTGTCCTGGGGATTCCACCCAGGGTCTTATAGTCTACCACTGAACTATACTCTCAGTCCTCAATATGGTAGTTTTGTTTTGCTTTGATTTGATTTGTTAAGAATCACTTCAGAGAGCCTGGCGTGGTAGCGCACACCTGTAATCCCGGCACTCCGGGAGGCTGAGGCAGGAGGTTTGCTCTGAGTTCGAGACCAGCCTGGGCTACACAGTGAGTTCCAGGTGAGTCTCAACTACATAGTGAGACCCTGTCTCAAAAAAACAAAACAAAACAAAAGAATCATTTCAGAGATCAGGGTAAACTCAAGACCCTTTTGCCTCAGCCTCCCTACTGCTGACATTAACAGGCATTCATCATCATGACTGCCTGAAGATACAGGCTTTATTTTCTTGTTTGTTTTTTAGACACTGAAGAGGTTTTTTTTTTTTTTTTTTTTTTTTTTTTGTACCTGGGATAGAACTCGGGTCCTTGTACTTGCAAGACAGGCAGCAGAACCTCTGAGCTAAATACCCAGCCCAAGAGGACTATAATACTGATTCTATCCAAAGCAGGCTATGAAGAGTTAACTCCACAATTGGTTTGCTTATAAAAGTGACTGTGGCTGAAGCCTATGTGCCAGGTCAGAATAACTTGCATGCAAATTCCACTCCCACAAGTAAAACCTTCAGACTAGAAGGACAATGTTCTAATTACTACCATATATTTTGTCTATTCTGTTGCTAATTTAAGAATGCTTTGTCTTGTCCTTTAGGAGCCTTGTTTACATTCATTTCCACAGAAACCACACGTCACCTTTACCCCAGTTGATTGCCAATAAAAGTCAGTGTCTGAGACTGGCTGGCTGGCGCCTCTCTCCGTTACATCAGCATTGGTCATCCTGGTCTGGCTCTCTCTTACTTCTGTCTCTTAGGGTATTGTTTTTCCCCTTCAGGCCTGCATCATATACTTGGCAGGAGGTTACTGGGACCTGACTACAGGGGTCTCTGGCAATAAACACTTTGGAAGCAGAGAGCAGCCAACCCTCACCAGACACTGAATCTTGGTCTTGGACTTCCAGCATCTAGAACTGTAAGAAACAAATTCAGTTTATAAACTACACAATGTTGGGTACTCTGTTACAGCAGCATGAAGAGACTACAAATATACACATAAGTGCTATAAAGAAAACAAAGGAACAGTTAGCAGTTGGGATAGCAGTCACCTCCCAAGGACAGGAGGAATTTTAATCAGAGAGATATACATAGGAGGTTGGCCATGTTGCACAGGTGGTGGCTAGGTAGGTATTTTCTTTATAAACACTCTTTAAATTCTTGTGCATGTTTATCTTTTCTTTTGTTTAGTTTTTCTAGCTCTTCCAAAATGTAAGCTAATGCCAATACATTAAAAATAAAACATTTTAGGGCTGGGGATTTAGCTCAGTGGTTTCACCACCTGCCTTGCAAGCGCAAGAACCCGAGTTCGATCCTTGGTACCAAAAATAAAAAATAAAAATAAACCAGTTTTAGGAAGTGATTTCATCTGACTTGCTTCCTCATGTGAGACTGGTGCAAGTTTCTATTATGCTTTTTTCTTCTTTTTATGGCAGATCATCATTCACCTTCTACTAGCTAAATCCGATGGACTGACTTCACCTGACCTCTGCACAGACCACTGCCTTGAGCCACAGGCTACACTGCCAACCCCAAATGTCTTAAAAAATCTCTACTTCCACAACAGGCTTCTTCCCTGGCTTACTCTTAACTCCTTCACAGTTTCTCTCAGAGATTACTCTTCCTCTGCGTTCTCCTCTACATCAGAGGATCTCAAATTTTAAAGTACATCAAGGACAGTTGAGGCTGTAGTTTAAAAATATCGGTTCCCATATTCCACCTTAAAAGGTCTTTGTGTGTGTGTGTGTGTGTGTGTGTGTGTGAGAAGGTCTCGCTGTGTAGTCCAGGCTGGTCTTGAACTCACTATGTAGTTCAGGCTGGCCTCAAACTCATGGTGATCCTCCTGCTTCAGCCTCCCAAGTGGGATTAGAGGAGTGCACCAACATGCCGGGCTAGGAGATGTTAATTCATTAACATCGGGGAGGTCCAGGAACCTCTCTCTAGTAACACTACCTTAAATGCTGATGTCTCCCAGCACTGTGGATTTGGCCTTAGTATCCTTTCCCTCCAAACCCGGGGCTCTTGAGCTTTAATGTCCGAGGCTCTGAAACCCCCCCTCCCCGAGTCATGCCTAGTCCAGTGACCTATGTGCGTCACCCTCTAAGATGTAAAAGGTCCCTCCCTCTACTGGATCTCCTTCACATCCCCGGACCCAACCGCTACTAGTCCTCCAGGACGTAATTTACATCAGTGGCCCCGAACGCTCTACTGCATTTGCCTTTAGATGCCCCACAAGCATCTCCAACTCAATTTGCGCGAAGTTAAACGCCATCCCCTGCTCGCAGCAACTCCGAGCGCTCTCCCGCGCCGGCCCCGCCAGCCGCCCCGTCTGTCGTCTCCTCTCTACACGCCTGGCTCCCTACCGCGCTCCCCCGACCCAGGGCCTCGCCAGCTCGCAGCCGCACAACGTCGCTCCTCGCGCTGCCCGCTTCGCACCCCCCGCAAGTTTCCTTCATTTGTCCCAGGTGTGCTCCCCCAACAAAGAATGTGTAGTGAAATCTTGGTACACACGTCCACTCTCTTGTTGATTGGGTTGGGTCCTTCGGGAATGGCTGGAAGATTGGACTGTGCTGCTAGTTGGAGTCTTGTGT